GACAACAATGTTCATGCCAACACTTCGAATAGCAAAACACTGGAAATGACTAAAATGTTCATCAACATAGAAACGATAAATAAGTTGGGATATAATCATAAAGCATTATCAGCAGTGAAAAAATGAACAATGTGCAACAGAGTTAAATAGTTATGTGAAAAGAGGAAATCCCAGAAGACATTCATTGAGATGAATGTCCCTATAAACCTCAAAAATGAACAAAACCATGTAATTTATGGCTTAGATACAAACACACCAGTATATGTATGTGTTTACATTCATACATGACACAACTGTAAGAACAAGAAGCCAAGGGACTGACGAACTCCAGAATAACAGCCGTAACTGGGGAGCTGGGGCACAGGACGGAGGGAAGCACATGGATGGGCTGGGCGAAAGATTCATGTTCGCTTCTAAATCAGCGGTTCTCAACCTGTGGGTCACGACCCCTTGGGGTCGAACGACCCTTTCACAGGGGTCGCCTAAATACATCCTGCATATCAGATATTTACATGACGATTCATAACAGTAGCAACATTACACTTATGAAGTAGCAAGGAAAATAATTTTATGGTTGGGGGTCACCACAACATGAGGAATTGTATTAAAGGTTTGCAGCATTAGGGAGGTTGAGAATCTAAACCAAACATTTAAGCCTGGCAAGTGTGGCTCAGTGGTTGAGCGCTGACCTATGAACCAGGAGGTCATGGTTTGATTCCCGGTCAGAGCACATGCCTAGGTTTCGGGCTCGATCCCCAGTGGGGGCCGAGGAGACAGCTGACCGATAATTCTCTCTCATCATGGGATGGTCTCTCTCTCCTTTTCCCTTCCTCTCTGAAATCAGTAAGATATATATGTATGTGTGTATGTGTGTATGTGTGTATGTGTGTGTGTGTGTGAGTGTGTGTATATATATATATTTTTTTAAGTGGAAGAGAAAATAAGTGAAACAGAGAAAGAAGATAGGGGAGGGTGAGGGGTGTGGCAAGGTGCTTGTCAGCTATTGTCCCAATGTTAAGAAAGGTCAAATGCCAAGTAAAAATTTATCAGGAAGGAGAAAAGGGCCATGAAGATGGACAGGTTTTCTGAAAAGGTTTACCGAGCTGTGGGGGGATCAGCCACCAACACATCTGGCACCCGGTATCGAGGCCGCCGGGGCTCCAGTTCATCGATCCTGATCCGAGTCATGTTCTTCTGAAGGCCCTGGAGCTCCAGCACCAGCAACACCTGAGGGCAGAGGTTTGGATCTGGATAAAGTGGAGGATATACCATGGAATGACCTCTGAACCCACTCCCTTCTGAGAGGTCTCCCGCTCCTAGACCCTTGCCTACGGGACCTGAGGTCTGAATTCCTCACAAAGTGAAAGTCCCCAGATGGCTGGACAGGGTGCTGGCTGTAGGTTCCCCTTCCCGAATCCCCTCTGGCCACTTCCCCACCCCCCCCCCCACCCCCACCCGATTCCCTTTTCTCCCCTGACCTTGGTGACCTCGTTGATCAGATGGACTGTGAGGGCATCAGGACCAAGCTGCAGAGAATCCAACAAGGCTCGGTATGGAGAGAGGCCTGGCTGTATGTTTCGCTGCCGCCTGCCAAGCAAATGGTTTAGAAGAGGGGGGGGGGTGCCCCAATGTCTCTAGGTTCCCCATCACCTGCCATGTCCCCAGGCTGCCCCATCGGCCACAGAGACCACCTGTTTACCCTACATCCCATCCCACGCTCCTAGAAGTCTCATACTTGCAGAAGGAACTCTCTTCACAGGTCTTAAAGTTGCTTCTATCCACCGCAAGGGTAAGTCCCAGGCAGACCCCTAGACAAGCCAGCACCAAACCTGTCCACGACCTAAGGAGAAAAAGGACAAAAGAGGGAACCATCAGTATGGGGTGAGAAAGGGCCGCACTCTCAGAGGTAAAAGCCAAGTCCTGAAAGACAGCTCAGAAAAGAGGAAAAAGATGGATTCCCATTAAAGAGAACAGAAGGCAAGCTGAGGAGTTAGCTCATTCACACTTTCCTTTAAAAAGGCAAAGAGCTAAATAAATAAATAAAAACAAAAAGGCAAAGAGCCTGGCCGTGGTGGCTGAGCGTCGACCTATGAACCAGGAGGTCACAGTTCAATTACCAGTCAGGGCATATGTCCAGGTTGCAGGCTCAATCCCTGATCGTGCAAGAGGCAGCCAATCAATGATTCCCATCATTGATGTTTCTCTCTCTCCCTCTCCCTTCCTCTCTGAAATCAGTAAAAAATATATTTTTAAATGCAAAAAAATGTACAATTCAATGGTTTTTAGTAACAAACAAAAAAGGCAAAAAAGTGGACCAAGGATCTTCGGCGTCAGAGGCCTTGGTACTGACTGGTTACATCAGCCTCTCAGAGCAGGAGCTGGAGCAGCCGGCCCCAGGGGAGGTCGGACCTGTGTGTGTGGAAGCGGGAAACGAAGCAGCCATGCCTTTCCAGGGGAAGCACTGGGTGGGGCGACAGTGAAAAGGTTAAAGATGCACCTCAGCCTGCCTCTCATCACAGCTGCTAGGGCCCCAACATCCCAGCACCCTAGGTATCCAGCTCCTCCCATCTCCACTCCTTTATCTTCAAAGTAAGTCACCACTCTCAACACCCAAGTCTGAAAAGAATACTAACAGCTAACTTGTATCGAATCCTACTGGACCCCAGGGACCTGGCTAACTGCTTTCTCTCCCTGGTTTGCAACTCCGCCTGCAGTTCTTAAAAATGTCAAGTATTTCTTCCCTGGCGGGTGGAACAATAGATTAGAGTGTTGTCCCAATAAGCCAAGGTTCGGGTTTAACACCCCCATCAGGGCACATACTAGAACCAACCAAATGTATTAGCATAACCAATGGACACAGACACTGGGGCAGTGGGGGCTTGCCCTCAGGGGTGGGAGTGTGGTGGGGGTGTCAATTGGGAAAAAAGGAGACATATGTAATACTTTAATAATAATAAAAAAAGAATCAACCAAATCAATGCATAAGTGGACCAACAAACCCGTTCCCTCCCCCACCGCCCCCTCCTCTCTAAAATCAATTGTAAATAAATAAATGAAGTCAGTGCCTGGGTCTCACGCACAGTGATTGTGAACTAACTGGTTTGAAGAGGGGCCTGGGCATCAGAATGCTTTAAATCTCCCTAAACAACTCCAATGGGGTTAGGGTTCAGAATCACTTCTTTAGCTACACTACCTCCTTTCCCTTCTTTGTTTCCTTGGTGACTGTAGGTTGAGGTTTTTCCCAGATGGGAAAACTGAGGCATAAAAGGCTCAATAATCCATCCAAGTAAGGGGTGAAAATGGGACTGAACTCGCCTCCGCCTGCCTCTAGGCCCCGGACCTCCTGCCCCCCAATACAGCACGCTAACCACTGGCAGGGCCGGCCGCTGAGGACCATCACCCCAAGGCTCCCACCAACCACCACTTGCTCGCCATAATGTCAACTGACGGACGAGGGATTTAACGGCTTATTGAACCGAGTCCCTTTGCAGGACACAGTCACGGTTCTGAGTGTACCCTGCACAGGGGTCCTCAAACCTTCCTGTCTGTGAAGAACCCCCTGCCGAGCTTAGGAAAGGAAGACGCTGGGGCGGTAATCTGCGGCTTACACCTGCTCGCCCAGACACTGAGGCGGGAAGTCCGGATGGGGAGAAACACACAAAAACACGGGCTTCTTCTAAGCATTCAAACCCGGCAACCCGCTCATGGGGAAGCCACAGGGCAGGCCCGCTCGGCACACGGCACCCAGCACTGGCCTCGGCGCCTGCTTGGAAGCTCAAGGGGCAGAAAACCAGCAGAAAGGAGGTCACAGAACACGCAGGCCGGCCAGTGCCGGAGGATGTACAGAGCTGGCCGGGCCAGACAGGAAGCGGAGGCAACACCAGGCGTGTGGCTGAATACGCCCAGAGGAACAAGCAGTCGCCAACACGCAGAGGCAATGCTACCGGAGGCGCAACAGCAAGGCATGTGGCCAGGTGCTGAGTGCGGCCGGCCACCCTGCCCACTGCGCCCATGTCCACCTGCTAACGCAGCAGGAGCCAGCGGCACGGGGAGTGAAAGACCCTCTGCAGTCCCACTGGCAGACTCTGTGAAATGGGTTTGCCTAGGTGCCGGGGGATAGGATTTCTAAGAGATTGCTCAGTGGTGACCTGTTGGGTGCCCCGAGTGCCCCGGAGCCAGAGGCGGCTCAAAAGCCAAGTTGGGGATGAGCAACAGGGCGAGCGGCACCGCTGACTGAGGCCGGACTTCCAGGAGGTGTGTTACGACCCACGCTGCCTTCATGAGGCACAGTCCGCGCCTCTCCCACCCAGCACGTCCCTCAGGTCCTGGCAAGCGCTTTGTGGAGCCGGTGATTCTTCCGAACCGGTTGTTTGTTTTGTTTGTTTGTTCTGGTAATATAAACCCGAGAGCGCACACCAAACCCTTCGATTGCATGTTGTGTTTGAGCAACATCATCCAGGCCGACTGTGAACTCTGGATCCTGCCCCAGCTGTGCCCAGTGAGCGTGAACAGCGAACACGCCAGGGCTGGTGCCCACGTGGAGGGCACGGCAGGGCTGGGGCTCTGGCGGTGGGGAGCGCACGAAGGGCAGTGCAGGCCGACTGATTTTCCCCCCTTTGGGTAGGCCTTTTAGAGCCGCCGGAGCAAGGACCAAAAGTATGGGCTCCCAACGCCGCGCGGGTCCACCGCGAGGAAGCGGGGGGCGCTTGAAGCAGCCTCCAGAGAGACAAAGTCCTCGCGACGCCGGGGGGGGCGGAGCCTCGGGAAGACACTCAAGAAGAAGAGATATGGGGCTTGGGGGGATCTGGGGCGTCCCGGGAGGGCCCCGGGTTCCGGACTCCTCACCGCCTCCTACGC